GCGTTCTTTAAATATTAGTTAACTAGCCATTTACTGTCAGTTTTTCTGGACCTGAGAGTTTGCATTAGAAAAGTTGGTTTAGAAATCGTGTGCCAACAATTTTGTTTTATAGGCAATTTATTTCAAGAAGTCAAAATAAACCTGTTTCAATGTATATATCAAATGTAGGATTGTTGATCAAGGAATTTTAGCAGCAATCAAGAATAATGAGGATGAACCGTAAACAGATAAACAAAAAGATGATATTGTGGAAAATCTGGTTAGATTTCTTGGGGATGCATTAGATCGTCGAGCGAAATTAGTCAAGGTGGTAGAAAGAAATGTGAATTAAGTGACGAAAATGGTCAAACGTAATAAGGTAAATATTGTCATTTTTACGCTGGACATAACAAAATATTACAAAATAATCAATCTTCATTGTTGATTATAAATAAAATAGTAACCGCATCATTATGTTTTTCTTTCACCCAAAAAACCTGAACTTGCCAAGATCTGTTTACGTTGCATCATTTAGAACTTCTCGTAGGCTCAGTGAGCCTTATGTTAAGTTCCTGAATTCTGTATCTAATTGAAGCAGAATGTTCATTTTTACTGAGTGTGACATTTAAACTGAAGGTATGTGAGGAAAAAACCGTTCGTTAACCGATTATCAAGACTTTTCTTTATGCTTTGTCAAACGCTAGACATAGTAATAGATGGTTTTTCTTCCGCCACTAATGCTCTTTCTTTTTTGAAATTATCAGGCTTTTGCTGATTAGTAATTTTTTTGCTGACTGATTTGTGTGAAAGATGTTGTTGTTATCTTGTTATCGTTATACTATTGCTTTTCATTTTTGTTGAAATAATTTAGTGACCCTCAGTATAATTTAAGAAATAGATATTGTATCCAAGTTAAATAAATAAATATTTGTGTATATAGAAATAGATAAATAAATGCAAACATTCGGTTTTTTCCTTCCTATAACATTCACAAAAAATATGTACTTCTCTTCAAACGAAAAAGCAAGAAATGAGAAACATCCGTTTGTGTCAACATCAAGTGTGTTTAGACGCTCAATCAGTCTCGTTTCCGTTTTGTTCATCTCATACACATATAAAGTAGTTTGTTAGTTTTGTTGATTGCAGATTGTTGAAATATACTCGGATGTTTTTAACAGATAATTGTCAAATTCGAAATCAGAAATAGCTTAAGAAATTGATGATTGATTAAAAAAACTAATAACAAAAAATACACTGAAAAACTAAAAAAAGTTGCACTTGTACTCTATATTCTTGCAGCGTTGATTATTAGAAAGATCATCTCAGTCAATTAGAAAGGCTCCTGTCCAATACATAATCTTTGAGGCAAATTGACTCAACAAAAACTTCTGAGGTTATATTGTTGAATTTTTCGGAAATTCTAAGTGAAAAAGAATGCATATAGGACAAAAAGTGGAACTTCCAGTGACTTGAGAAATAGGACAACATAATAGAATGAATGCTTGTATTTTGCAGTTCTGGAAAGACGGTAGTTTGAACATACAACAGTGGGTCTATTTAGCATCAAAAGGAAAAGTCCTTGAAGAGGTATAACTAATATATATGATTGCCAATAAACTTACTAGTATCGTTTGTTAACACTATTTTTGATCTGGGTCCTAGAATGACGAGACGTGTACTGTAAAACATGAATTTATTCATTTTTTTTACAAGATACAGCTATAAAATACAAGTATACAAAGATAGATTTTTACATGCATAATTTTACATAATTATTTGGAGATCAGTTTACCCAAGTCTACTAGAATAGAGGAGACTTATGTCGGAAAATATTTAAAAGAGAAAGCAATTAGGCTGAAAAGATAATATTTCTGATTTTTTAAAGAACGCAGTGTTTTGTAGATTGGATAGAGAGAGAATGTACGAATTGTTATTATTAACACTTGTAGGATGAGCAGAGACCATGTGAAATACTAGGTATTACAGCACAAAACAAACTTTATAATTACAACTTTTTGATTTTGCTGAAACGTACGGGTTTAATATGGATGGTAAGGAATTTTTTTCGCATGGTCTCTGTTCATCCTACAAGTATTAATAATAACCCTTCGTACAGTCTCTCTCTATTCAATCTGAAAGACACTGAGTTCTTCGAAAAATCAAAAATATTATCTTTTCAATCTAATTGAGTTCTTTTATATATTAAATATTATATTATTATTTATATACTGCTGATTATTATATTACACTGTTCGAAGACTGTTCGATTTCATAAAAAAAATTACAGACTTCATCTCTTTTCACTTTCTACACCTATTTTTTTCGCTAGGACGGCACGTCAAACATCATGCTACGCTAAACGAATTTTAATCAGCGAAACTACTCTGTGCGTGTTCGACACCACGACTAAATACAAGTAATATTGCGAGATTTGTATATATTATCATCAGATGTGGATATTGTTTGTCCTCGAAAGTATCTGCTATGATTTTGTGTGAGACTGTTTGAAAGAGGTATGTGTAAGATAATAGGAGAAGTTCTGATGGTGCCGATGTAGTTTGATTTTTCACGTATTAAATGGTATAAAATGCTAGAGGAAGAGCGAGGTTAAGCTTGTCTCAGACGTCTAGGTAGTATGGAAACTCCTGTTTCTATTTCTTTCTCATCGCCTTGTTATGTCGAATAATATGTTTTTTTTTCTCATTCTTTTTTTTCTTGTTTAGTTATTATTGCCATGCTATTGTCTTTTTCGTCATGTATTTATTTGATTATCTTGATATGATTTCGATTTGAAAAATAATTTACGTAAACGTGTCATTTTTGTTGATCGTTTTGATGTTGGCGATGAATACTGTTGTTGTGGCATTGATGTCAATAATGAACTAAAATTGAAAAGAAAAGTTGTCTATTTCATGTCATGCATTGAAAAAACAAACGCATATAATTTCCGATGGATGTAAATTAAAACAGTTAGACGAAAATTCAGTTACTTCTTTTTCAATTTTCAAGTGATATCCTCTTGTATACAAACTCAAAATGAATGTTACGCATGTACACAAATCAAGTTTAATATTAACATGTTCATTATATTTTTTCTCCTTTTCTATAATCTACAGATTATATTTGAACTATTGAAGTATTATTATGAATACATATTAAATAACATTGTGTACTATCAGATTTTCGTGAATATAAATCAGCTTAACAAAGAAAGATTTTTTGTATATCACGAATTGAAGCTAAAAGTATGAAAATGCTCGCACGTATTCTAAAACTTAATTACAGTAATTAGCATCGTTCTATGCCTTCTCATTAGTCTGTTTCAAAGGAAAAGCGAGATAGTAGTAAAACCATGCCGTTTTGAAGATATATCTCTTATGATGATGAATTTTATACATTTGAAAATACCTGATATTTTCTTTTCTTATAGTCATAGTTTTAAGTTTAGAATATTTATCTATAAATTTTCGTCTTCACTAAGAATCATTTACAAAAAGAATAAAATATTGTACAATTTATAAGGAACATCAGATTTTTTCTTCTGAAGAAATAGTTAAAAAAGATGAAATATAAGTTTGCCATCAGGTAATACGTACGTTTTTATTAACGGTGAAAAGACTGTATTTACTGCTGAATCATTTGTTTCATCTTCATTCTCTTCTTCGACTAATTCAACACACGTTTTACTCTGAACTTTTTTATTTTTCTCACTAAGGCACAGATTCGGTTCCGATGTGCGAAATAACGACATTTTCCCTTTTGTTCTATTTGAACAATCGTCTATATCATGTGTATAACCATGATTTGTACAATAACGATTATTGTTCGATTTCGTTGTGCTTGATTCGAATAATGTTAATAAACTATGTCGATTATTAAACAATTGTTGTTTATTTACTAAATGTTCACGAAATGATTTTGTGTATATCCATCAATTTTGTTCTCCAATAGATGATGATAATTTTGATTGAGTCGGACGTCGTTCACAGTATATTGGTACAATAATATATCGACAATTTGGAATGGATTTTAAATCATCTAATGTTAAATAACGTTCTTCAAAACGCTTTTTTAAATCTTTGGTATAGATCCAAGAGTTTTTTGATGGTGACGATGACATTGTTAAATTAAAATCAGATCGATTTATTTTTCCTCGTAATTTATTATTATCGTTAATCATAAATAAATTATCATATGTTAAGCATTTTTCTCGGTGTTGTTGTTGCTCACTACGATTAGCTTGAGTTGTTTCAATAGCAAGAAATCCGTACCATAGAACCATCAAAATGTATTGAATGATATGTTTTATTTAATATATTCTATAATATTAGTCTATTAATATTATATTAATAAACGACCGAGGGACAGAGAAGAAAATGTTTGAACCAATTTTTATTTATAGTTCCGTTTCTTCTATATTGTGGATAGATCTGTAAATAATACAAAAAAAAAAAAATTGAGCGCTTTTCATTCTTTTTTTTGCTTTTCCAGCACTTCATATATTTTGGATATAGTTGAAGAAGGAAAACAGAAATAGAGAAGGTATACAAAGAAATAGACAGAAAAAAACTTAACAATATGAACGTTTGCTGTGTGTGTGTCTGCGTAATTAGAAAACGCATTTTTTCCATTTTACCAGAAAAAAGACGAAACTAAACACTAATTTAGCGTTATTCAGAAAAAAGCCTAAATCTTTTTGTTTAGTTTATAGTAAGTGATGTAGAGGAAACTAAAAACCTTTTCAATGAAAGCTTAGTAATCGTAATTAGTTGTTGAATTCGAATCTAAACAAAGGCAATAAGAGATCAGCCATGCTCTACAAAAATTGAAAAATGTGGACTGAATAACACATCAGTTGAAGAGAACTAGACAAAGAAAAGTTTGAACCGAATGTAAGGGAGATTTTCATTTCTTATATTGTATACAGTAGCGAATATGAAGATATCATATCTCAGATTTCATGGATCAAACGACTGATTACTCCATACACGGACAAGCAATAGATATGAATGATTTTCTCAAAGGGAGAAAGAGAAGCACCCATTTCTTTTACACCAGCTTGTAGAAGACACTTCAAAATATATATTCCAAAGATTTTTTCTTTGCGGACTTGTAGTTTTGAATAAAAAAATTTTAAGTTTTTTTTCGTTTTTTTTGCACCAATTTTAAAATTTCATTTAAAACTTCAGTTTTAGACATGAAGAGTTCATTCTAGCGTAGTTCGATAGAGAACATTAAATTTTATAAGAAAAAAAATTCGAAATAATTATTGAATGAAGTTTGACGTAGAAATTTAACTTTTATCTTCCCGATGGGATTTCAGAGCTAAAAGTGTTTTGAAAAAAGCCTTAAGACTAGTTTCGCTCATAGCAAGATTCTAAGCAAAAATTCTAGGTACAAAAGTTGTTCAGAATCAAATTCCGCAGTCGCTCATGAGAGCTTCTTTCAAATTTATTTTGTAAATTTTTAAAATAAATCTTACGAAATCTTATGATTTCAAAATTTTGAAATCTAAAACATTTTTACCCAGAGTTTAATTTCAAAATGTTTGCTTCAAGTGAAACTAGCCGTAAAGCACGATGAAAAAAATCTTCGCTGGGCAAAATCCAGCAATATTTTCAAGTTTTGAATTTTTTCCCCAAACCCTTCCAGTGTACAGAGGATACTTCAAAGTATATGTCCCGAAGTTTTTTCCCGCTTATTGGCATTACTTGACCGAGAAAAAAATTAATTACTTAAAAAAATATCATCAAATTTTTGACTTACCAGACTTATTGGGCAGCCAAAAATGATTTTCTTTTAAGGTAGCCCGTCTTGTGACCTGTGAAATTCTCTATCAGATGGGGTATTGCTTGAAGTTTTTTGTTAAGTCGTTATTTTACAACTATGATTTTAAGCGAGTATAGTAGGATAAATTAACGTTAGTTAGCCAATAGCAGG